GATGCTGCTTGGCCTGCTGTGTTCATTCAGCTCTACACCTTGTTATCTCAGATTCTCCAGCATCAGCAGTTCCTACTATCTCTATTATTAGTTTTGATGTTTTATTTAATTTTGTAGGTTCTGCAAAATTCTCACTCAGGTCAAAAACATTAAATCAGTAAACCTTGATGTTAAAATTCAAACATTTCAGATTTTTACCTTTTTATCCACTGTCCTTGTGTAGCTTAATAAGCATATAATGACAATACGTAAAGAAGTGAAGGTGTTAGAGTGGATTGTCATTGATCATTTCATATTGGAAAGGAGAAAGATGACAACAATGTGTGTCTCTCTTTCTCTTTCCTTCCCCATTCTTTCTCTCTTTCTCTATTACCTGCTCTGTCTCTCCTTTCCACTCAATTTCTCTCCTCCTTTCAGAAATTCTCTTTTCAAAAAAATATCAGATTTCTGGGCTTTCAAGGAGCCACTCAGGTTATGCCATCAGTTGACTGCGACATGGAATGATGCAGAACACAATGTCAAACCAGAAATAACAACCAATAGAACATCTCATTTTACCATTCAATGGGAGCATTTTAAAATTTGACCTGTATATTTTGCTCTTTTGTTTGTGACTTTAGCAAATGAATTATTATAAAAAATAGGTTTGGGTTGTATTGAAGTTCTGTAATTATGCAGCATTCTCTTGGAATAACAGTAAAGTGTTTTAAGACAAAAATATATCAGCATTCACCAAAACCATTAAAAGCTATAACATGCAACAGAAGACACATACTTTGATTCCTGCACTTCTGCATTTTAGAACTGCATCTGGCACACTCGAGCGGGGTGGATCGATCAAGGACAGAAGACCAACAAAGCATAGGTTGGAAATTGGGAAATTTCTGCTATCTGCATCAAATATGTACAAATCTGGATATTTGTCTTTTGGCAAATATTGATGACAAAATCCTAAACAAAATTTTAAAAGAAACAGTCAAAATCTCACAAGATGCAATTGTAATTAATTTTCAGCAAAATCTAGATTGGTCATAAAGACCTGCAGCACAGGCACATTGTTTTTAAATGGTGCAGACACAACCACCTAACTATTCTAATCCAGCTTTCCAGTATTTGATGATGGAGAAGCTAACCAAATACAGATGAAATGACTGATTTAAGGAAGAAACTTTTAAAGTATTTAAAAAGAAATATACTGAGGTTAAGTAAAAATATCAAGATTCATGAAAAGAATCAGTACAGACACAATGGGTTGAATGGCTGCCTTCAGCGCTGTAACCATTATATGATCATGTTAAACTTGCTCAGGAGAAATGTCAATTAACATTTATATTGATAATAGTGCCAGTCAGTAAGTTAATCTCAACCAATCTTCTGCTAAAGACATATCCAATAAAAATTAGGTGAAAAGTGGTCACTTCCTTTCAAATCTGTATAAAACCTATTAATAAGTTATAATAGTGCCAAAAGAAAAGATAAGTAGGACACAGTAGGTCATGTAGTGATCATTGTATTTATAAAGCCAACAGAAAATAATCAAAATACAACTATTTCAGAGCTAATTTCTCAAATAAAAGTCATATTTCTTTTGAATTAGAGGTTTTCTTCAACTCAACTCACATCGATTTCATTAACATATTCAAAGAGAAATGGATAATTTCTTGATATTTGAACATTGGAAGCGTTAAGGCAGGAACAAAAGCTAAAATCACAAAAATATTCTTGGACTAGGCTCTGGATCAGCAAACTGTTTAAATCTCACTCTTGTTAGACATGTTATTTGAGCTAAGTATTATCATCTGTAATTGACGATGAACTCCAGTAAAATAATATGCTCAAATTAATGAATGAATGACATATTGTCACATATATCTAGGGAGATACAGTGAAATGTGTTCTGTCGCCACAATCCAGTGCCATTTTGAGGTACAAAAGAATAAAAAGAAAGGACTTCAATAGAATTCTTCCTCATTGGTCAGGGTGCCAAACACAGTTCCAGGACTTTTGCAAGGTCTCCGCAAGGTCCCCGGTCTGGGCTTACCACAGCCAGGAGTCCCCACTCTACCATCACTGTAGCCGACTCCTTGCCGCCAATTCCAGGAGTTCATGCTGTGGTCACCGCCAACCCCACTCCAGCCTCACTGCGATGTCAGAAAGATGAAGAAAAGAAGAATAAAAAGAGAAAAGACGAAAAGGAGAGAAGAAAAGAATGCAGCTGGCCTGGACCGGATGTGTCTACCAGGCCAATGCCACCATCTTGAATAGCAGGGCTCACTCTTTCCTATTGCCACCACTGCTGCACATGGCTGGAAGGCCAGGACTGCTCTTGCCCTGCCAAAGAGTCTGCAAAAGGCTTTTAAAAAGAGGAACAAGAAAGAAGACAAGGAAAAAGAGCAGAAGTAAAAAGAAAAACAACAAAAAAGCAGAGCAAGGCAAAAAAGCCACAGACCAGGAGCTCGAATGCAGTGCTGCTTCTCCACCACCATCTTGGAGTTGGATGATGTAGTGAATGCCTTAATGAGTAATAAATGGTGCAGTCCTCTTACCTAGAACTCTCTCACCCAACCCACCAAATTCGTGATAAGCTGTCTGAATGACTTCTATCTCACGATCTTCCAGTGGAACTTCTCTGCCCTGGAACATTACAGTAGAACAAGACTCCAAGATACGCTCTGGTGCTCCCTTCATCACTAAGAGGAGACGTTTATCATATGGATTGTTGGTCCTATGAATGGATAGCTAAAAATAAAAAATGCATTTGTTAAACATCTATTATATTGACTTCATATTGTTCAAAGAAGGAAAGATGCAAGTTTAATACACGGTGAGCATTAACTCCTCTGGTTAAAACTTTTTAATAAGAAGGAGAAATTGGACCCTCCTACACTTGTTGCATAGACAAAGAGTGATAACCGAGGAAACCCAATTTCATATTACCTCATCATGTGTGTCTAAAAATGTCTGACCTCAAATTGAAATGGATGATTTTTAAAACATCTTTGATGGCTACGCAAACCAGGCACTAACCAACTGGTGTAGTGAGAGTGAGAGGCTTATCACCTGCTTTAGGATCCCATTCCTAAATTAGACCTGCGCTGAGATTTCAGGCTCTGCTCTGCACAGGATTTTTCAGCAGTCACAGTACTTAAGCAGCAGCCATTGAAATAAAGCATATATTTTTAAGCTTAATATTAAGTCAGAAGGTGAAGTTATCAGCCAACAACATACCACTCCCTCCTCTATCCCTCCTCACCTCTTCAGGATAACTGCAGCTGATATCTGCTCAGTGTTAAATTTATGATTCAAACTGGCCTGGATCCAAAAAAACTGTCTTTCTATGGATCAGATTAAAAGATGGCAGAATTTTGAGCAAAAGTGAATTATTCAGACAAGAACAATAATCCCTAATTTTACATAAACTACTGTGCTTAAACAAGTGTCTGCACATTTAGATATATAGTTCATGGGCTCACCTTTATCCCTGGACCTGCACTTGTTAATGTTGATTTACATTTTATTTTGATTTTTGAGCTATTTAACTGAAAATGGCAAACGGGTTAGATAATACTTTGACATGACAATATTGGCATCAAAGACAGATATTGGGTGCACTTTTGGAATTCTAACTGCCAGGTTGTGCCTGCAGAGAGAACCCTGAGGATTTTCATTGGTGCTAAAGAATTCAGGTACTGAGATTGTGAAAGGCACTGTGTAAATGTAGGTTGTTTCTTTCATACTTAACAACATAATAGAGGTGAGAAAAGCAGATTAGAGACTGATCACATTTCTCAGTCACATTGCTGGGGCGTGACATGGCTGAATTGATGAGTTATTCTGACAGAGACTTTTAAATGTGCCAGAATCACACTTTCCTGTGAAACTCATACATTACCTGAAATTTGTTTGTCGAGTTGAATGGTATTTCAAATATTTTGGTATTCTCCTCTCTGAATTCCATCACATTGCCAAATACTGTTTCAGAGAACTTCAAAAGGGCACTTTCAGAGGCATCTCCAACTATTTCTCGCTGTGTGTGGGGAAAAAAAAAATGAAATAACTGAGTGAGATTGCTTCTCTGAAAAGAACCTTCAACATTTATGGCAAAGGTATATTAACTGATCACTATTCTACATAACTAAACCAAAAGTTTGATTCCGTCCACGACTAGTGCATGCTTATATTATTCATTAGTAATCCTACTTGAAGATTTTAGTTGCTAATGAATTATAAAGCTCATTTATTTGGAGACTGATGTGACAAATAACCCATTTAAATTGGAAGACTAAACTGTTAAATCAGTAAAGGTAAGTAAAGCACAAGTCAGAAGAAGTCCTGCTAAGAATTCCCAGTCTATTGGATGTTGCCGGGACTGGAGCGTTTGAGTTATAAGGAGAGGCTGATAAGACTGGGATGTTTTTCACTGGAGCGTAGAGGGTTGAAAGGTTCAATTCAGCTACCTAAGTTTACTTATGCACTGAGCTAGGTCAAAGTGAAGTACAGGCCAGTTAAAATTGCCAATCTATCCACACCAGTAACAAGATGATCAGGTTGTTGCTACAGAAGCCAAAGTAGCACCAAACAGTCCCACGTTGGAGTCACAGATATTCCTGTACCTTCTTAATCTTTCTCCATCACCATCTGGAAGAAGACTTCAAGTATCCTCCACTTTCTTCAAATGTTATTTGAAAATTGCGGTCAGCTGGGAGAAGTAAATGATACATACCTTTCCCAGCTTCCTGCACTTCAGTAATTTTGAAATTGCTTGATTTTTAAAACCCCAAATTGTTCCTGCACTTGGCATTGTTGCAAGTATAGTGCGGTAATAATGTAGGGCTAAGAAATCGATGCAAAGAAAATTATTTTTAATCAGGGGATTCTGATAGCTAAATTTTCATTGGTGTAATCAATGTAGGAGCTCATGGCAATCAGTTTTTTGCATCACACTCCCCTTTGCAAAGGCCCAGTAAAGCCCTGGACTCTGTTGTAAAATAGTTTGCCCCCCACTTTAGTCGGAGGATTATGGTAGCTGAATTATAATTAGCCTCAAAGTCAAGACAATGATTTTGATGTATTACATTCCACATAGAAAGCTCCAGTAGAGCTGTACGAAAACATGCCTCACACATATGCAAACTACCCATTTATAGAAGATGAACATGTTTGCCATCCAGGCAGCTGGTATATGCTGTAGGTGTTGGATTGATGTCTTGGTGTGCCATACAACATATGTTGCTCCTCCCAGCTTCCCTCCAACAGATCTCTACTGACAAGCAGCCTATTGGTCAAAAGAGCATATTGAATTTACCTCACTCAGCTCCTTGCTTTGTCCATTTACTTCCCCTCCCCACATCTCTGACATTTCCCATTTACCACCAAACTCCATTTATTCCTATAACTTAGAAATGTGACAATTGTCACATCTGAGTATTTATTAGTGCCTTCTTGGTATCAAAAGATTTTGGAAGTGGAATAATTGATTCTGTTGTACCTTCATAATTGGAACATCCTCCTGCCCTGGTTTGAATTCTGCTCGACTACAGAGTGCAATAATCTTGGCCAGAACTGCCCATGTTTGTGATGTTTGGTCGAAGCTCTGAACTGTGAATGAATACAATAATTGTACATCAGTGATTCTTTCTATTTTTTGTATTTGCCTATAGCTGTTCCCCCAACGAATGAAATAAACTGCAACTTACCAAACTAGTGAAGATTTAAACTGGAAATACGTACCTGGTCCTCATTCAACACATTCGCACAACACCTAAAACTAAGTTGCTCATATGAGAAGCAATTTCAACAACAAAGCAAAATAGCTGTTGCTCAAATGTCTGAATTCAGCCATCATTAGCCCTTTTACTTATAACTAACCTTCATTTATACTCTGACTTTCATGACATTGGAATATCCTAAAATTATCCATAAGGCACAAGTCAAGATTTTGATAGAATAGTCTCCATTTGCCCGAATGGGTTCAGCTCCAATAACGTTCAAGAAGTTGATAATCATGCAGGACACAGGAACCTACTTGACTGTCATCCATCGACCACATTCAATGTTCACTCCTTCTGCCACCAATGTACCACAACAACAGTGTGTACCATCTTCAAGATCTACTCACCAAAATTTTCTTCAACAACATTTTCCAAACTTGAAACATCTACTGCTTAGAAAGACAAGAATAGCAGTGGAATGGGAGAGCTACCACCTCCAATTCTGCTCAATTAAGGTTCATGCCATCCTGACTTGGAAAGATATTACCTTTCCCTCTGTCATTGGATCAAAGTCCTTGAACCTGCTTTCAAACCATATTGTGAGTTACCCACTTGACACAGACACCATAGATTCAAGAAGACCACTCCTTGTCAGGAGCCAGTGGGATTGGAACATAAATGGTGGCCTTAGCAGAGATCTCCTCATTCAATAAATAAATAGAAAGGTGCTTTACAGCCAAGTCGAAGTGTTATAATGTTAGCAACCAAATTGTACACTATATCTTTCCCCAAACTGTGACGTGGTAATGACCAAACAGTCTCTTTAAGAATATTACTTATAGATAAATATTGACCATAACACCAGGCTGACTCTCCTGTTCTTCTTTATAATAGTGTTTCATCAAATGTTTTGTATCCAATAGAGAGAACAGACCAGAAATGTTTTAACGTTTCATCTGATTTAGCACTCCCATTCAGTAATCCCTTAGTCCAGTTGGAATACTATCAGCCGAGGTATTTAGGCCCAAATCTCTGAAGTCAGGCTTGGACCCACAAATGTGTCTCAGAGACAAGTGTTACTAAATAAGTGACATTGACATAATGGAGTTGGTACTTTCAGACAAGCATACATTGTACATATGTACAGATGAAACATAAAATTTAAGGCATGACCAGAAAATAACATTTGTGAGCAATTCTCTAAGGTGTTCGAAATGCCATTACCTCTCGATTTCTCTTTCACCTGTTGTCAAGCTCCTTGCCTGACCTTACAACTTGGATGAGCCAAATTTCAATTAAAATTCAGAAATACTAAAGCTGCTGTCTTCAGCCCCACCATAACTCTGTTCCTTGTTCACTGATTGCAGCATCCTCCATGGCCATTGTCTCAGGTTATATTTTATCAGTTAATCTGACCAGAGGTAGGCTTCCAATCTTATATGCTCTCCAAGATGGCTTATATCCAACATCTTAATGTCACTATCTCCAATTCACTCAACTCTATCTGTTGCTGAAACCCTCATCTATGTCTTCGTTAACTCCAGACTCGATTGCAACACTCTTGTAGTTAGCCTCCCATCTTATACCATTCATAATTCAAGCTCATCCAAAATTCAGCCCATATCCAAATTCACACTAAGTCCCACTCACCCATATTTAATTCTACATTGTGTCACAGTCCAGCAACAGCTCAACTTTAAAATATTCATCATTATTCTAAGATATGTCTATACAAACTCAAGGAACTCTGCATTCCTCCAATTCTGGCTTCTCGTGCAAGGCCAATTTTGACATCCTACTGTTGGTGACCAAACCTTCAGCCAGCTAGTACCGCCTCAGTGCTAGTCTACTCATGGAATTGCCTTCACAAAAATCTTCACTTCTCTCTCCTCCTCCATGACATTGTTTAAAAGTACAGCATGTAACTACCTGTTCTAGTGTCTCCTTCCTGGGATCAATGCCAAATTTTGTCAGATTACAATATTGTGATTCTGTGATTGCATTACTCTGGGATATCTTACTGGGTTCAAGCCATATATAAGTACGTGTTCTTGTTGTAACGTTATTATAGAATAAAAATAGGTTAGCAAAGAAAAACGGCACACCAACTTCTAAGAATATGTTTGTCATGGCATCACTCATTGTTTTTTAAAAGATATGTAAACAACAATGAATTTACAATAAATATGTTCAATTTGTGATTTCACAAATGTAATTTCAGGAGTATAAGTAGTGGATATTTAACCTTGTCTTATACACACTGACAAATTACTGTGTGAAGTTGTTGGCTGATCATCACTACACGTGCTGAAATCACGAGTTTGTCAAATTGGACTGATTAATGCTGGCATCACTGGTGTTTAAATATAACTTATATTATTTTGGAAGGCGCAGACTCACATGTGTGAGCCTAACCCTCATTTCACACCACGTTGCAGCAGACGCAGCAAACTGCTTGGTTGCACTGATAGCTGATCTGCTACAATTCTGAGAATTTTCATCACAAGAGGTATTGAAGTCAGTGTGTCCCACTTGCACTGCAATGAAGTGAAAATGGCCAGCAAATGTAGGAAAAGACAGCTTATGATGTAAAAAGGAAATGTTTTTCAATTACAGTTATTGAGATTGGGAAAATCGGATAATTAATTTTAGTGATACTGCTAAAGTGACTTGCATTAAAACCCTTGTATGTGCTACTTTGCTGACTGTTAGCCTATTTAAAGTGTGAGCTAAAAATCACAATGAGACAAAGTGAGTGTAGAATGGAATATAACATGGCTGCATTACTCAAAATAAGCAGCACTCAGAAAATTAAACCCTCTTGATTTTTTGAAGTAATTTAGAATTCAAACAATTCTCCAAGTTAAAAGTCGCAGCACAGAAATCAAAATTATTGTTTCAAGTCAAATTTAGTGAAAAAGATGATAAAGCTAAGGTAAGATAACAAGGCGTAGAGCTGGATGAACACAGCAGGCCACGCAGCATCAGAGGAGCAGGAAGGCTGATGTTTCGGGCCTAGACTCTTCTCCAGATATGGGGGAGGGGAACGGGATTCTGAAATAAATAGGGTGAGGGGGGAGGCGGATAGAAGATGGATAAAGGAGAAGATAGGTGGAGAGGAGACAGACAGATCAAAGAGGCGGGGTTGGAGCCAGTAAAGGTGAGTGTAGGTGGGGAGTTAGGGCGGCGATAGGTCAGTCCAGGGAGGACAGACAGGTCAAGGGGGCGGGATGAGGCTAGTCCGAAGGGATTACAAGAGGGTTGTAGTGGGAGAGACATCCACTGAGGTCTTTCCGGAGGGAGGAGGGTAACTTCTTCAAGGTAGGCATCCTTAGAAGAGGCTTCGCAGTGACCTCAGTGGATCTCTCTCCCACTGTAACCCTCTTGTAATCTCTTCGGACTAACCTCATCCCGCCCCCTTGACCTGTCTGTCCTTCCTGGACCAACCTATCGTCGCCCTAACTCCCCACCAACACTCACTTTTACTGGCTCCAATCCCGCCTCTTTGACCGGTCTGTCTCCTCTCCACCTATCTTCTCCTCTATCCATCTTCTATCCGCATCCGCCTCCCCCTTTCTCCCTATTTATTTCAGAATCCCCTTCCTCTCCCCCATTTCTGAAGAAGGGTCTAGACCTGAAACGTCAGCTTTCCTGCTCCTCTGATGCTGCTTGGCCTGCTGTGTTCATCCAGCTCTACACCTTGTTATCTCAGATTCCCCAGCATCAGCTGTTCCTACTATCTCCATAAAGCTAAAGTACTTGTAAATCATCTCTGAACTAAGAAGAGTCAATCGGAAAAGAATCAGTAAAATTAGGACAACAGGAACACAGATTCAGATTTAATCACAGTCTTCCATTACCTGACTGTTCTTCACTGGTATCTGCTGCATGATTTTGATTATCAAACCAAAGATGTGCTACAGTCATGCGATTCTGCGTAAGTGTCCCTGTTTTATCAGAGCAGATAACAGATGTGGATCCCAGAGTCTCAACAGCCTCCAGGTTCTTTACCAAGCAGTTCTTTTTAGCCATTCTTTTGGCTGTCAGTGTGAGACTAACCTGCAAAAAAGGACGAGAAGTAACCTACATTTTGTTTGCTATCCGAGGTCACATTAGCATGCAATAGAGATCTAAAACCATGTCATCAAACAATTCCAAGTAACATCAATTCAAACAACTAAATAGCAAGAATATTAGATTTCTGGGAAGAAAATGATCAGATTGATGAAAATAGATACCAAGAATACATAAATTGCACGTGGAGATATTTGTGGCATTAATGTAAAATTCTTCATCCCCTGTTTTTGGGAGAAATTAGAGTTTGAGACAAATACATCATATTACATAGTTAAACATAACAGCCCAGCAGTTGAACCCGTAACTCCAAGGTCATGCAAGCCTTACCTTCAGGAGTAGTGTCTCCGCCTGCTCCTGCCCCACCAAATTTATCTCCACCTATCTCAACTCCATTTTCTCTCCCTTGGTCCAGGAACTCCCTACCTACGTCCGTGACACCACCCACGCCCACCACCTCCTCCAGAACTTCCAATTCTCCGGTCCCCAACACCTCATCTTTACCATGGACGTCCAGTCCCAATACACCTGCATTCCCCATACAGATGGCCTAAAGGCCCTCCGCTTCTTCCTGTCCCGCAGGCCCGACCAGTTCCCCTCCACTGACACCCTCATCCACTTAGCCGAACTCGTCCTCACCCTCAACAATTTCTCTTTCAATTTCTCCCACTTCCTACAGACAAAGGTGGTGGCAATGGGTACCCACATGGGCCCAAGCTATGCCTGCCTCTTTGTAGGTTACGTGGAACAATCCCTCCTCTGTAGCTACACTGGCCCTAAACCCCACCTCTTCCTCTGTTACATTGATGACTGTATCGGCGCCACCTCGTGCTCCCACGAGGAGCTCGAACAGTTCATCCACTTCACCAATACCTTCCACTCCAACCTTAAGTTCACCTGGACCATCTCTGATACCTTTCTCTCCTTCCTGGACCTCTCTGATTCCATCTCTGGCAACCACCTGGAAACTGATATCCATTTCAAGCCCACTGACTCCCACAGCTACCTAGAATACACCTCTTCTCACCCACCTTCCTGCAAAAAGGCCATCCCTTATTCCCAATTCCTTCACCTCCGCTGCATCTGCTCCCAGCATGAGGCATTCCACTCCCGAACATCCCAGATGTCCTTGTTTTCAAGGACCGCAACATCCCCCACTCAGTGGTCGAGAACGCCCTCGACCGTGTCTCCCACATTTCCCGCAACTCATCACCCACACCCCCACCTCCCCCCCACCCCCGCAATAACAACCAAAACAGAATCCCCCTCGTCCTCACGTACCACCCCACCAACCTCCGGATCCAACGCATCATCCTCCGACACTTCCGCCATCTGCAATCTGACCCCACCACCAAAGACATTTTTCCCTCCCCACCCTTATCTGCTTTCCAGAGGAACTAATCTCTCCAGGACTCCCTTGTCCGCTCCACAGTCCCCTCCAGCCCCACCACACCCGGCACTTTTCCCTGCAACCGCAGGAAGTGCTACACCTGCCCCTACACCTCCCCCCTCACCCTCATCCCAGGCCCCAAGAAGACTTTCCACATCAAACAGATGTTCACCTGCACATCTGCTAATGTGGTATACTGTATCCGCTGTTCCCATTGTGGCCTCCTCTACATCGGGGAAACCAAGCGGAGGCTTGGGGACCGCTTTGCGGAACACCTACGCTTGGTTCGCACTAAACAACTGCACCTCCCAGTCATGAACCAGTTCAACTCCCCCTCCCATTCCTCAGATGACACATCCATCCTGGGCCTCCTGCAGTGCCACAACGATGCCACCCGAAGGTTGCAGAAAGAGCACCTCATATTCCGCTTGGGAACCCTGCAGCCCAATGGTATCAATGTGGACTTCACAAGCTTCAAAATCTCCCCTCCCCCTACCGCATCCCAAAACCAGCCCAGCTTGTCCCCACCTCCCTAACCTGTCCTTCCTTCCACCTATCCCCTTCTCCCACCTCAAGCCCCACCCCCATCTCCTACCTACTAACCTCCTCCCGCCTCCTTGACCTGTCCGTCCTCCCTGGACGGACCTATCCCCTCCCTAACTCCCCACCTACATTCACCTTTACTAGCTCTATCCCCGCCTCTTTGACCTGTCTGTCTCCTCTATCCATCTTCTATCCGCCTCCCCCTCTCTCCCTGCTTATTTTAGTACCCCCTTCTCCTCCCCCATTTCTGAAGAATGGTCTAGGCCCGAACCGTCAGCTTTCCTGCTCCTCGGCCTGCTGTGTTCATCCAGCTCTACACCTTGTTATCTCTTACCTTCAGGAGAGACTGTTATGACCCTGGCAGATTTTAGTGCTGGACAAGTCAGGTCCCAGAGTGAAATTTGGCTTGTTAGATCCTAACATTTTTTTTTTAAAACCTGTGGCAGTCAGTTCCTGAACATGATGACAAGAGGCTGTCACTGTACTTTTAACACAAATAAAAAACATTAATTAAAATATAAGAAAAAAAAACATGTCCTATCTTACACTCGACAAAAAGGTTGAAAAGTCTTCATTCACCAGAAAGAAAATCAATTTCTCACTATTCCTTTTATCTCAGCTATATCTTTACAAACACCAAACCTTAGTGAATGGTCTTCACTATCTCCACAATGATGCTTTTCATTCAGGTTGGCACTGCCAAAAGCATTTTCAATGCATTTCAGTGTATTTACTAGCTACACTTCCTTAGCTAATATCACTCCATGAAACTCCTACATCAAACTGCTAACTAAACTTACTATTAGTTTAAACTTTTGGGGAAACTTGAGTTCCCTAAACTTTACTTGCTACAGTCTTTAGAGTCATAGAGCTGTACAGCACAGAAACAGACCCTTCGGTCCAACTTGTCCATGCTGACCAGATATCCTAAATTAATCTAGTCCCATTTTCCAGCATTTGGCTCATATGCCTCTAAACCATTCCTATTTATACCCAGATAGATGCATTTAAATGTTGTAATTGTACCAGCCTCCACCACTTCCTCCAGCAGCTCAATCCAAACACAAACACCCCTCTGTGTGAAAATGTTGCCCCTTGGATCCTTTTGAAATCTCTCCCCCTTCACCTTAGACCTATGCCCTCTAGTTTGAGACTCCCCCACCCTGGGGAAAGGATCTTGGCTATCCATCCTATCCATGCCCCTCATGATTTTATAAACCACCATAAGGTCAATCCTCAGCCTCCGATGCTCCAGGGAAAAAAGACCCAGGCTATTCACCCTCTCCCTATAGCTCAAACCCTCCAACTCTGGCAATATCCTTGTAGATCTTTTCTGAACCCTTGCAAATATCACAACATCCTTCATATAGCAGGGAGACCAGAACTGAATGCAGTATTTCAAAAGTAGCCTAACCAATGTCCTGTACAGCCGCAACATGACCTCCCAACTCCTATACTCAATGCACTGACCAATAAAGGCAAGCATACTAAACGCCTTCTACCTGGGACTCCACTTTCAAGAAACTATGAACCTGCACTCCAAGGTATCTTTGTTCAGCAACACTCCCCAGGACCTTACCATTAAGTCTATAAGTCCTGACCTGTTTTGCCTTTCTAAAATGCAGCATCTCACATTTATCTAAATTAAACTCCACTTGCTTGGCCCATTGGCCCATTGGCCCATCTGATCACGGTCCCATTATACCCTGAGGTAACCTTCTTCACTGTCCACTACACCTCCAATTTTGGTGTCATCTGCAAACTTACTAACCATTCCTCCTATGCTCATATTCAAATAATTTATATAAAATCGCAAAAAGCGGTGGATCCAGTACTGATTCTTGTCGCAAACCGCTGATCACAGGCCTCCAGTCTGAAACCTTTCACCAACACCCTCTGTGTCTAACCTTCGAGCCAGTTCTGTACCCAAATGGCTAGTTCTCCCTGCATTCCATGTGACCGAATCTTGCTAACAAGTCTACCATAAGGAACCTTCTCAAACACCTTACTGAAGTCCATATAGATCATGTCCACCGCTCTACTTTCATCGCTGCTCTGCATTCATCAATCCTCTTTGTTACTTCTTCAAAAAACTCAAGTCAGTGAGACAGGATTTCCCACGCACAAAGCCATGTTGACTATCCCAAATCAGTCCTTGCCTTTCCAAATACACATAAATCCAGTCCCACAGGATCTCCTCCAACAACTTGTCCATCATTAATGTCAGACTTAACAGTCTTTAGTCGGCTTTTCCTTACAAACTTTCTAAAACAGTTGCAACACGTTAGCCAACCTCCAGTCTCTGGCACCTCAAGTGTACCTATCATGATACAAATATCTCAGCAAGGGACCCAGCAACCATTTCGACCTTCCAACAGAGCTCTAGGGTACACATGTTCAGGTCCCAGGCATTTATTCTCTGGCACACACCTCACTGACTCACTTACTAACTTTTTCCAGATCTGTGTCACTGTCACTAGGCAATGGCAGTTTTATTCCCTTTCTTTTAGATGCACTGAACTGTTAAGCCCCATCTCCACTCCAAATCAAGATATAAAACCTCTTAAAATAAATGTAATCAAACCAAGCCTCCAGCTTCCCAGGCACCAAGCTTCCAAGCTCACAAAATGAATTAAAACCATGTATTCCCTTGTTAGCACAAAAAATACAAAATACAATTAAAGTTACATTTATATATTAGACCAGCAAGGCCAGGTGTGGTGCTGTAAACTTACAGTGACGGTGGCCAGGAGGCCTTCAGGCACATTAGCAACAATGATGCCAATCAAGAAGATGATGGAATCAAGTAATTTGTACCCCAGACTCAGCGCAAGGACGAAAAACACCAATCCCACAGTTACAGCCATTCCCATAACAACATGGACAAAGTGTTCAATTTCAATGGCGATAGGTGTCTTCACATTATGTACTTCCGATGCAAGAGATGCAATTGCTCCAATCATAGTTTGATCACCAGTGCTGATCACCATGCCAGTTGCTGTGCCTTTCAAAATAATAATTTCAAAATTACAAACATACATTTGCGGCAAGATATTTTTGATTACAAATTGGTCTCCATCTTAATTCCTCCCAAGACATCAGGAAAAGGATCAGGGTGAAAGGTTAATGCATTCTAGTTCTTCCTCACCTTTAAAAATTGAAATCCAAGAATTAAAGCCTGAAACAGGCTCCCACAAAGGTTAGGCTTGAACCTAGTACTGAAGTCTATGGTCTAATGACGTAAATCGACACGGTAGTAAATGAGGCTTTGTGGGTCTGGGACTCAAATTTGCCATCTTGTGAAGCAGCGTGGAATGCATTACTACATTAAAGGTGCTCCCTATCGATTTTTGTATCATCTGTAACTAAGCTATTAACCAAGCCCCGATATTTATGTCTTAACCAAAGAGTTTCTCTAAATTGGATTTGTTTAGTGGGAAATGTTGGATTACTTGGTAATAAGAAGCTGGCTAAAATCTGAAATTATCTGCTTATTTTTTGCAAATCTTCTCATTTTCTGAAAATCATGTGAAAACTGGTTTCACATCATAAAGATGTTATAAGAAGCAAGGTTTGTACAGCTCATGTTAACAGAAATTATTTTCAGGCCAGAAAGTACCTACTTTTAGAATATTTGAAATGCAAATCTGTCAAAAAATCTGAGTACAACATTCACCATTTCCATTTAAACAAGGAACTTGTTACAAACAAAACATAAATACTTAATCATGCAGAATAAGTTAAATTTTGCACGCATGTTTACAATGTATAACCGTAAAGCAATGCTATAATCTTTTATTATTTTGATTAGTCTTTGCTATGAGATGCCCTTTCTATGATTAGTCACTAACATTTAAATGGATAAACTGACACAAGAAGATAGTTTATAATGATTTGGTCAAAGTCACCTCCATGCCAGTAGAATTACGTCAGAGTGTGATTAATAAAGTAATAAGTAATAGGACCATTAGCAGGTCATTTCACCTTTCTAGCTTGTTCTGCCATTAAATAGGATTTGAATTACAGCCTTAACTTCTATGCTTGTCTCAACTCTAATTGTCCATCAAAAATCTGTCTAATTCAGTCACAAATATATTCAATGATCCAGCCTCTAATCTTTCCTAGTGGAAGAGAAATCCAAAGTCTAATAACCCTACGAAAGATAAATAAAAATCCCGCTCATCTCCAACATAATTGAGAGATCCCTTATTTTTAAAATTGTGTGCCCTAATTCTAGGTCTTCCCTTAAGAAACCATCCTCTCAGTATCTAGTCAGTGAAGCCCTCCCTCAGAATCCTAAATACTTCAACAAAATCACCTCTCACTCTTCTTAACTCAAATGTGCACAGGTCCAACCTATTCATTCTTCCCCCAGACGACAAACCCTTCACCCCAGAAATCAACCTATTGAACATTCTCTGAACTGTTTCAAATTCAGCCATATTCTTTGTTAAGTATACAGTATTCAAGGTTTTGTTATACTAATGTCTTGTACGTCATAGAAAGACACCCCTTCTGTAAAATTATTGACACCCTGATGGTCACTATTGATTAGAAATTGAACTGGACCAGACATATAAAAGCTATGCCTGTAAAAGTAGATCAGAGACTAGGATTTCTGTGGCAATTAACTCACTGCCTGTCTCCCCAGTGACTGTCCATTATCTACAAGACACATGTCAGGATTGCATTGAAACACTTTACAAATGCCCAGATTCGGTGCAGCTCAAACATTGGAGAAAGCTTGATACCATCAGGACAAAGCAGCCCACTTGATTGGCACCCCATTCACAACCTTCACATTCACTCCATTCACCATTAACTCTCAGTGACAGCAGTGTGTTCCCATCTACAAGATGCAATGCAGCAACCCACTAAGTCTTCTTCAACAACATTTTCTCCATACGCAACTTCTACCACCTACCAAGGGCAGCAGATGCATGGAAGTACCACCATCTGCATGTTCCCCTCAAAAAAGATACTCCCTCTTGACTTGGAACTATATTTACCACTCCTTCACTGTTGCTGTGTCAAAATCCTCAAATTCCCTCTGAACAATACTGTGGGCATCCTTACACCCCAAGGATTCCAACAATTCAAGACAACCACATTCTCCAGGGTTATTACGGTTGGGTAATAAATACTGGCCCAACCAGCAAAGCCCACGTCCATGAACAAATAAAACACCTGCTTTGCAATAAAGACCCAACATTCCATTTGCCCTTCTAATTAATTGTTGTATCTACAAACTAATACTTTGCAATTCAAGCACATGGCTATCCAGATCCCACAGTACTGCAGCATTTTGCTGTCTCTTTCGATTTTAATAATATTCTGTTTTCTATTCTTCCTGCCAACTTTGATAAGTTCATATTTTCCCATATAATACCCTATCTGCCATTTTCTCCTGTCACAATTCTCTGCACTGCCTGTCGTCACCAAATTTGAAGGTAATATTTTCCATCCCTTCATCCAAGTTATTCATTTAGATTTTAAGTTGTTGAAGTTTGTTGGGGTTGCCTATGATTTTGTGCTGCTCAATGGCCAACAGCAGCCCATGCTTAATGCAGCAGAACATGGCCGACAGTAGTTACAGGGCTTGGGAAAAAATATTTGCTTAATGTAGTCTTCACAGGTAGAACAATAGTAGCTCTGTCGACTCAAAGTTACTGGACCAGGATAGAATGTGCAACTACAGTTGCTAATATATAAGACATAGATAAGAACAAAACCAAAGTTGCTGGAAAAGCCCAGCAGGTCTGGCAGCATCTGTGAAGGGAAAAACAGAGTTAACGTTTCAGGTCCGTTGACCCTTCCTCAGAACATCTCACATGAATTAGTTATTTCCCTTGAATTATTTAATCATTCTGTTACAATATTAAGAGTAGGCTTTAGCTAAAATTCTTCAGATAATCTTAGACATAGATTCCAAAGTAGTTATAGAGCCACCTATATGCAAAAAAAATCACTAAAAGCATTAGAGGAAAAGATTCAAACCAGTTTCAGCCAGTAAAAGCAGCCTCCTACGCATCCCCCGACACACACACACACACACACACACACACACACAATTACAGGGAGAAATGAATCATAGGCACAGAAATTAGCAGACATTGGAATGTGGATTAAATGAACACATTGAGATACAATTTGTTGGCTAAAGAATTCTAACATTAGGCATAACCACAATATTCTTTTGTATTTCCTGTAGTGAAGAATTTAAAAGGTTCTGAAGTGATTGGCACGTATCCAATTAATTGGCAGTTAACATGGTGGAGCTGGCAAATGTTACTTGAATACAGTATCCATTGTTAAAAGCCTCACGAAGAAAAGAAAGTCTGGGAAACATCATGAAGGACTGGGGGTGGACCACCAGCTTGTCCATCTCTTTGTCTTTCAGTGATATGATTAGCTTAATAGGAAATACATTGAAATTGCTGAGGCAAACTTGAACTGCATCAGATGCTTAAAATTTTGGCAAAGGTCTGGACCGGAGAATCAATTACAAAGGGACCACTGACCAATAGTAATCAAAGGGGGGGAAGTTGTGTGTGTGTGCTCTAAGTTTAGACTGTATAAGTTTAGACATTCTGAAACTTTGCGTGCGCCTTATTGCTCTGAAGAAATGAAGCTGTAAATCGCCACTAAAAGTTACCCGAGACCATCCCAAAACTCAGATTCTCATTGGAAACTATGAGATCTAACAAAGTGCTTGCACATATCCTAGAGGCAGGCCATTAGTTAATAATCCACTTTTCCTGATTCTCTTTCCTATTGGTTAGCCAATCCTTTATTCATGCTAATATATCTTTCCCAAAATGGAGAGTAATCTTTTATGTCATGATTTCTCTTGCACGGGGGGAAGCAGGGGTTTAGAAAGTACTAAGAAAGAATAGCAGTATGGGATTGTATCAATTTCTACCCATGCCCTACCTTCAAGGCAAGTGGTGGAGTAGAACGCAATATTCTTTGTTTCGAGTAGATTCTCATGTGTAAATTCAGTGGAACGAGATTGTGCTTCGGACTCACCAGTCAAACTGGAGTTATCCACCTGCCAAGAAGCAGCAAATCAATTAAATCTTGGAAGAACTGCATTCAAATTATTAGCAAAACTATCTGGATTATTTCGAGTAAATTTTAATTATTTTTTTCAGTAAAGTCTGTAATGCAATGTGAAAGAAAGGTGATGGTGGCAAGTTCAAGGGAAATGGTAGCATGGTTTTAACGTCACTCAACCGTGAACCAGAGGCACTGGCTCCAGAGAAAAGCATTTGAATTCTCCCAAAGCAGCCAACAGAATTTAATAAATCTGTAATAGTTATCATGACAAAAAGCATCTGTAACAACTCATCTGGTTCACTAAGTGTTTCTTCATAATCTTTCACAGGATTTTTTTTGTTCATCCTGATTCAACTGCATTGCTGTGACTCTGACAAGGGTCTGAAGTCTCACATCGGCCATACCAGTTAAGAATAGCACATTTCCTGTCAGAAAGGATATTGGTGAACCAGATTGAGTTTTATGATGATCGTTGATAGTTTCGCAGCACCTTATTGGGATCAATTCAAATTTCATCAGCTGCCGTGGTGGCCTTGTACCCACATTCCCAGGGCATCAGCCTGGGTCTCTGGATGATCAATCCAGCTACATTACCACCATCTCCCTTGCATTATCAACTGAAATCTGCTGTTGTCTAGCCTACGTGTGACTTCAGGTCATTGTATGCTCAAGATAGCAATTAACAGCAGGATGACAGCTTTTCCTATTTGCCATTTACAACGTGAAAGGCATTAAATAAAAAGATTATTTGAAAGGCAGTATTGTGATCTCTCTAAAAATAGACTTTCTTACAAGAGTCTTTGCTAGCTTGCCTGTTAATTTAGAAAATAGATGGTCTACCTTGCAACCCTGGGCAGAGAGCAAGCGGAGATCTGCTGGAATTTGGTCACCAGCTTTAATCAACACAATGTCACCAACAACCAGTTTATCTGCTGTAATCACTTGCTTCTCACCATCTCGAATCACAAGGGCTTGCTGAAATAGAATGTTCACCATTATAACAAAATTAATTCAACAAGAACTTATGTCATCTGTATCTATTTTGCAGTTTTGTACAAATAAGAAATGATTTGGTTGACCAAACAGAATAAAGATCAATATTGAAGTTTACACAGACAATGGTGGAGACAATTTTGGTAGTATCTGTGGAGAGAGAAACAGAGTTAATGTTTTGAGTCTGATTATAACTCTTCTTCAGAATTTTAGAAGTATCGAAGATCCTTTCTAAGTTACACACTATCCCTTTCAAAGGGCAATAATTCATTCTTTAGGATGCGAGAATTGCTAGTGTTTATTTTCCATTCTTTCTATCTGTTGTCCTAAGGTGATGGTGCACAGCCTTCTCCTTAATCTTCCTGGCAACTGATGCATACAGCTGTTCAATGTTCAGTCCCTTTCACAACTCCTCAGATACTGAAGCAGTCTGTATTCAGACACAGCAAGAACTTGACAACATTGAGGCTTGGGCAGATAAGTGACAAGTAACATTCATGCCACACAAGTGCCAGGCAATGACCGTCTCCAAAAAAAAAGGAATCTAACTAACATCCCCTGACTGCATCTTCCAGGTATTCCATCTGAGGAAGCCATTAACTGAACTGTGATGAACATTGTCTTAATTTTACTTTTTTCTTACAATGTATGACTCCTGTCATTAATATAGGCATCATGGTTGGTTGACTTCTAAAACTTTTCACTGTATTTTTCATGTAAATGTACATGTGACAACAAATTTCCATTCTATTCTACATTCAATTGAAATTACCATTGCTGAGTTCCTTCACTATCAACATCCTAGGGATTACCATTAACGTGAAACGGTACTGGACCAGCCATATAAATACTGTGGCTACAAGAGCAGTTTAGAGACTAGGAACGCTGATATATCTGTCTCCCTAAAGCCACCCACCATTTATAAGGCACGAGTAAGCAGTGTGCTGGAAAATTCTGGATGGGTGCAGTTTCAGCAATAATGAAGAAGGTTGACACCACCAGAGACAAAGCAGCCACCTACTATTTCCAACATTTACTCCCTTCGACACTGATTCACAGTGGCAACAGTGCAAACAATCTGCAAAAGGCAATGCAGTAACTCATCAAGCCTTCTGCAACAACACCTTCCCAACCCAGGACCTCTACCATCTAGAAGGACAAGGGTAGCAATTGCATGGGAACACCACCATCTGCAAGGTCCCATTCAAGCCACATACCATCCTGATATAGAACCATATCACTGTTCTTTCAATCAAAATGGGTGAAAATGCCTTCCTAACAGCATTGTTGTGTCCTTACCCAACAAGAACTGCAATGATTCAAGAAGGTAGCTCACCGCCATCTTTTCCAGGGCAATTAAAGATGGACAACAATGAAACTCACATCCGACAAATGAATTTTTAAAAAGATGATTGCAGAGCCACTCCAGAGGTCAGTTAAGAGTTAATATTGGACTGGAGTCATATAAAGACCACAGCAGCTGTGTTCTCTTTCCCAACAGGCATTACTGAACTAGTTGAATTTTTAAAACCACAACGCCAGAAGTTTAGGCCCATCCACAAACAAAGATCAGCAGTTGTTTAAAAAAAAAGGTTAGCACGGACTGCATTCAAATTTCTCAGATCCATCCAGTCCCCAGGCTATTTTCTTGGAATTGAGAGGCAGGGCTACCCAGCTGCATGTGGCTGAGTGAAGGAACTAACTGCTTCCTAGGCAGACTGAGATTTTGCGAGTGGTGGAAGCTAGATCAGCTGCTTGAAGTTGCCCTTCCAAAGTCACGTGAAGGCTCCCTTTGCATAGCGGAGTGCACCAACATTTGCTGGTTACCCCATAGAGCAGTGCCCTATCCAAACTCCACCACTCCCCCAAACTTAAGGACTGAAAAGGTTGAGAGAAGGCACCTACATTTTGAACCACCCTTCACTCCCTTACTTACCTTCCATTACATCCTGCTCCTACATTCAACCTAGATGGTCCTCCACTTGGTGCTCTGCATCAAAAGCTTGCTGCCATCATTAGCTGGGTGGCAGAGCAAACCACAGGCTATTGATCAACTGCTCAAGGAAAAATCAGTGGCAACTGGTGGATGTTCTCCACACAGCATTAGCTTCTGCTACCCATTTGACATTAACAGTGGGGCTCAGAAGGCCACAGGAAAATCCTGCCCTCACTTTTTGTTTGAATTGAATTCTAATTCTTAAAATATCATAAACACTATCAATAATTGAAGAATAAATTATATTGCCCACCTGGGGAACCATCCTGTGAAAGCTGGCCATGATATTGGTGCTCTTTGCTTCTTGGTAATAGGCAAAACAGCCAGTAAGTATGACAACTCCAGCCAGAACAACACCTAAATATAACTGAGGAGACAAAACCATTACCAGCAGAGCTCCAGTTTCATTGCTCTAAATTTGATATTACTCTTTAACATATTAGAAATGATATTGATTAAATCAAACCCAAGTCTGAATGTTCCAATATTTCCGCTCTCTTTGCAACCCTACCCAGGTTTTCCCCACACAGTGACTTGTCATCAAGCCCATTTTCATCTTTCTGCAATTTTCCCTCGGATTCAGATCTCACAGAACTGAGCCATTCCTTCTGCCATGACTCAATGCTCAATGGGCTTCCTTCAGGTCCCTGTAACCTCAAGTTTACAGGTGCACAAAATGTCAGGTTATTGATGTAGATGCTGTTTGTTCATGCAGCACCTCTCAGTATAACAACAGATCTGATTCTGCTCAAACTTACTTTCGAATGTTGCAATTTTAATTGCTAAAAAATAACTCATAAGTTCCCTTGCATCAAGTCAGTGCAAACTAATTGGTAGATCAATTTGTAAATGAATAGCAAGTCCACAGGAATCCATTTTGACTCAGAGATTTAACACCACGTCAGGATGTATAGAGGGTTGGCCTTCTGGACCAGGAAGAATGGAATGCAAGGGAGTGGGTTAAAAACCTGGGATGGAGAGGTGGGGGCAGAGTGTATGTTGTCTTCCCACCACTTTGGCATTTTGCCAGCAGTGGGGAAGGGGAAGGGGTCTGTCCAGCAATTAATTTCACTACTTAAACAATTGAAGGCGTCATCCCGTCGTCACTGGCATTTCTGACCAGCAGAGGCTGGGCCGTCCGACATTTGGCTATTGGGTTCTCATATCATACAAACTAGTAGCCTAGAGGGTGTCTTCTATTCTGGCACAATGGCCCACCACATCTCATACCTTACTGCAAGGCTGGCATCATCCAATGAGTGTCAAAACCGAGCAGTCCCTGCTATGACCTCTGACCCCAGTGATACAGCTTGGACTGAAAAGCTCACAGGTCTTGGAAGCATCCCTAAAGGGATGGGTAGCCTGAACAAAGCTTATGAATTGCTAGATTAGTGTAGAATATGGTGGAAACCCTACCCCAAACAACCCAGGCAGGGTTATTCCCAGCTGCACATCACTGGGGCTACTGTCACCCCACATAAAATCTAAATCAGCGACTACAATCATGAACAGCAAGGTCCAGACCAGGCCTGACAGTCAACTCCAGCCTCACTTGCAAAGAGCCAGTAATTGACAGCTGATCAGTAAAGTGAGTGTGATAACCAAGCCACTGCAATTGTCCTTGGGCAATCTCTACCCCCATACTGGACTACATGTGACTCCAGACTCACAGCAGTGTGGATGACATTTAACTACCTTCTGAAATGGCCAAACAATCCATTCAGTTCAAGGGCATTTGGTTGGGCAACAAATGCTGGCCTTCCCAGCGAGGCCCACACCCTTGAAAGAACAAAACTGTTCAATTGTTCGGAGTTTGCTGTATTTTGTCTGATCCTTCTTTTCTGTACTGTGTGTAATTAAGCAAGCCTGGGTATGATCACTTAGGAAACAAATTAAACCGGATGCAAGCAGCTCTAATCACGAGAGTGCAGGCATTTTAAAGATTGGAATATAAATGATGTGTCATTCCAGCAAATATCCGAGGTACAAGCGCCACAATAATAATAATAAAGGGGAGCTGAAATAAGACTATTCACACATTCTATGAGACCACGGATGATCTGTGACCTAATTTCCATATCTATTCCCCATACATTTAATACATTTCATTAACAAAAATCTAACAATCTCAGATTTAAAATTAACAATTGATCGAGTAGTAACTGAAGATTATGGGATAGAATTTCAATTTCTACAACTCTCTATGCATAGAAGTGTTTCCTAATTTCACTTCGAAAGATTTGGCTGTGATTTGGATCACATGCTGTCTTGTTTTAAACTTCCCAAACAGCAAAAAAAAAGTTCCTCTCTACTCCACATGTTCAGAACCAGGGGTGGCATTGTAATTAAATGGGGTAGGCCTTTTAAGACTGAAATGAGGTGAAATCTCTTCACCCGGAGAGTGGTGATCTGTGGAACTGTCTGCCACAGAAAGCAGTGGAGTCCAAAATATTGAATGTTTTTAAGTAGGAGTTAGATAAACGCCTTAGGTCTAAAGGGGTCAAAGGATATGAAGAGAAACAGGAACAAGTACGGAGTTTGATGATCAGCCATGATAATATTGAATGGTGGAGCAGGCTCAAAGAGTTCAACAGCCTATTCCTGCTCCTATTTTTAAATTTTCCTTGATACTATGGAAATTTTTAAATCAAATCCATACATTAACTTTCTAAATTCCAGGGAACATGACACAGGTATATGCAATCTCTCCCGGAGTCTAGATATCACGCTGGTCCAAATATGCTTAAGTCCCTCAGAGGTCAGTGTCTTCTTTCTACGGTGAGGGATGCTGAAGAGAACAATGGTCTAAATAGGAAAGGATGCCATCAGGATTGAAGTGAGATGGCTGCCTGCAAATGAACCAATTTTGCAGTTATGCCTCACAGGTACTGGGCTGAGTATTTACATGTTCACAGCACCTGTTTGAAGTGTTAGCAATCCATGTCTATTTCTTGGTCCTTCCCAAATACAACAGAATATGCACCTTCTATCTATTATAGTGGAGGATTTCAAAGTCATCCACAGCTAAAAATGTAAGCTCTATGAGGCCAATTCTCTGGGCTGTTAACTTCTCAGATGAAATCAATAGGACTATTCAATTTTAAAAATAGACACTTCTGAAATTTACACAGAAAATCTCGTTATGACTCACTTACATTGTCTTTGGCTGCGTGATTGCCTTCTCCTATTTGAATGGCATAAGCAATCCAGCAGAGTATAGCTCCAACCCAAAGCAGAAGGGAGAATCCACCAATCATTTGCTTCAAAAATTTGACTATTTCAGGTATCTGTTTGGGAGGTGTGAGCGCATTGGGACCATCCCGAGTCAGGATCTCGGCTGCTCTTGCACTAGTCAGACCCTGTAATAAAACCGCTAAAGAGCTGTAAAAGTGGTACAGAACTTCATACTAAAAGCGATAGCATTCAAAAGAATCTAAAGGTTTATATCAGGCATAAGCTAATCCATTCAATTTGACCCAGCTCTTTAAGTATTTACTACTCATCAAAAACTTCATTCTATTCTTAATTGTTATTTCCCTTTATTGAAGATTAATAAGAACTGACATCCTGGCAAATCATTTCTAAAGCCTGAATTTGAACACCGTCACTGGCAGAAAACCACAATTAAACAATGTGCATAGACAGCGAGCTCCTGAATTGGGACCCTACCGTGAATTTACAAAAACATTCTGTTCACAAACAGACATATTACATTTGGAAGGGACTTTTTGTGAAACATACGCATTGCAAACTATGACTATACTACAAGTATAAGGAATGCTAGATTCATAATCCAAGCAGATCATCATCAAAGGCACGTTGAAGAGTAGTATAGTCAGCAGCTACCATTACACTTCCTACTCATTCTGCATTGTTGCAGACAATTCTTTTTCTCATTGGTCATTTTATCATGAGCCACACAAGCCATTTAAATGGTAGAATTCAGGCTTTAAAAAGAAAAGGTGCCTTTTTTCTCCTAGTATACAAAATGTAATGCTTTTCTGATACGTTTCAGGCTAGAATTTTCCATCCAGGAGAAGAAAAAGGGGAAGTAGCAGTTTCCAGGTTTCAAATTTGCCGCTGGGGGTAGAACAGTCACTCTTTGGAAATATCATGTAAATACCCCATAATTGGACTCGATAGAGTATCCTTGTTCAATTGATGGTAGTGGATGGACTCGCAAAGCTGAGGGTCAGGCAGAGGTCTTGCAAACTAAAAAGGAGCAATGGGTTAAAATGTTTGGAAAGTAACAGGGTAAGTGTTCTAATAGGCACTCTTTAAAAAAGAGTGACTAAACAAATAAATCCACCAAAAAGACTGTTGCTGTTGGGATGAGAAAATATTTCTATAGGCTGCTCATTGACTGCACCCACCCGTACCCAAGCAGACAGATCTGATAGACAGACAGATTTGTCAGCCTGCCCAGAGAACCAGTGACGGGCAGGTGTGCGTCCGTAGAAGATGTTTAAGTAGACTTCTTAGATATTCAGAAAGGCTTCCAGATTATTTTTAAAAAGGCAAATTTTGAAGGCAAATTTATAACATGATTTAGAAACTGATTGGGAGATAGGAGACAGTATGAATAATGTATTTCACAGATTAACTGGATATGAAAACTATAGATTTCCAGCTACAAGTTTTTATTGCGTACAGCAATAAGTAGGATGAAAAGCAAATAACTTTTTCTTGCAAAACAAACAGAGAATACCAAAAAAAAGACTCAGCGGGTCTGGCAGCATTTGTGGAGAGAGAAACAGATTTCACATTTTGAGTCTAGTATGATTTCTTCAAAACGGAAGAACACCACTGCCCCTTCTCTTCTACATATGCCCATCTTGAAGAATTTTGCTTTTCTCTCCAATTTTCAGCATCCACAGTATTTTACTTTTATAAATTTATATCCAAGCTTGTATATAACACTGAGCTATGATTCACATTAAAGTTTGTGTATGGGATATGAAAGGTAACAGAATAAGCATGAAAGGATTGGGGCTTTCAACTTAGATTTTTGAGACCAAACATTAAAGTAGACTAAAAGAAGGATTTGAGCAGATTTAACAGGTAGAATGGATATTATTGTTCTCAAGACAAGTGTTTGATTGTCCTTTCAAAAGGCATTAATTAATAACAAAAGGCAAGAACAAGATCAGAGATAAAACACTTATCTCCTGAATCTTGGCACAAATAATTCCTTAAGTAAATAAATAGTTCCTTTTGCAGTAGCAGATGGGTATAAAAACAATTGCAGTAACACCATTTTAAAAGAAAAAAAATTAAGTCCTGAACTCAGAATATAAAGATAAACTGTCTTGATATCAATAAAACCAGTTATTTAGTAATTTGGCATCAGTCGATTCTTGCCTCTTGTCTACTAAAGATTTTTAAAAAGATACACAAAATGAACATAGCTCACTACATATAAGAGCACAAACATAAAAGCATAGTCAGAAAGTGCGATAAAATGTCCTACACCTCTAGTGGCAGGGAATGCAAAACTTAAGGAATGATTCTGCAGTTGTAAACAGCCTCAGTCAGAGCGCTGCAGTCAGCTTTAGACACCACACCTCAGGCAGGATAAGTGACCACTGAGCCCGTTCAGCAGAGATACACCAGAATAGTGTCAATGTTACATTATAAGGATCGGTTCCATAGATGTGGCTGGTGAGCCCAGATTACGGTCAGCAGTGAGATGACTGGTGAGCCCAGGCAGGACTCTGGCAGTGGGTTCTGAGATGGCAGCGCGGAGGAGAGATTAAGCCCTTGTGGGGAAAGCCCAGCATGGATCATCTACAGACCCATGACTAACGAAGAATTGTAATGCTCAATTTTTAACTTTATTCCTTCATTTTTCTACTTTATACTAAGAAAAACTGTAATGTTGAGCTTTTAACATATTTATTTTTCTACTTTGTACCTAAGATTTTGTACCTCAGTATGTTTGTAATTAAGATGGTGCCGGGAATGATGACATTGTACACTTTTCACTGTACTCCTTTATCCCCGTACTTGAATACACATGACAATAAAATCTAATTCTATATTCCAGTTTAGATATTTGAAGGGTGAACTAATTGACATGTTTAACATTATGAAAAGGATTTTTCTTAATAGATAAAAAGCTAGTTCTTTATTGTATAATGTGAATGTGAATCTAGAACTAGGTTGCACAATCTTAAAATATACACATCAACACAATTGATGGTAGAAATCTGAAAATTCTCAGACCTGCCAGTTCCCTGACCCTCAAAAAGCTGTCGTTGTAGGTCAATCAAAATTCTTAATAATGAGATCAATAGTATTTGTAAATCAGGGAGGTATCAGGAATGTGAATCAGAGACAAATAAATAGACTTAAGCTACAGATCAGACATGATCTGAGTGAAAAGCAGAACAGGGTTAAAGGGGTGATTGGGCTGTACCTGTTTTTGTACAATACAATACTATAACTTATGCAAATCTAACACAAAAAATACAAATTTAAGTGAACAGCCTTGAAAAGTATGATTTTGTCAAGATCATTACACAATTGTGTGGTGCTGGCTAAAATATCAGCCATTTATACTCTTTTGCCACATTCTCCCACCATGGACTCACACCACCACATTCACCTTTTACTTCTTATTTTACTTACTTACTTAATCACTTGTAGTTACTGTTGATTCAAAAATTCTTAATCTTCTGTCTAAGGATTTTTTTTAGTCCGTAATTTTAGTATTTAGATTTCATAAATTCAAATTATTGGTTAATTTATTTTATTAATGCACAAAATTATCAAGATTGTAATATAACAAACCAAATCTTGGCTACATCTAATTAACTGGTATTACAGGTTGTGAAAATGCCTTATTGAGTTGCAAAGCCCAATATACTCACGTTTACAAGGTTAGTTTCATACTTTTTTACCAGTTCTTTAATGGAAAGTTTGTGGTCTTCCTGAAAAAAAGGAAACATGAAAACTTTTTAAAAAACTTAAACTGTTATGAGCAAGATTTAAGTTACATCTCAGTTTGCTTCACTATAAACCGTGCATATTCATCTAACAGTAAGAGTTATGTTACTGAACCTAATCATTATCTGGTTACATTTTACCAACAAATACAGTTAAATTAGGAGCTAGTGATGATTAGAATCAGTTTAATTATAAGATGCTAAGCTATTATTCTCAAGTAACAGAGTAAGAGCTGATGTTGGCCAAACCACAGTTTCCCTGTCTTCTGATACTTGCATGATACAAGTGATAAGCTTTAAAAATGTTTTAAAAATTTTCAAAACCTGTAATCGCAAATGATTAAATTCTAATCAACTTTTTATGACTAATGAAACTAATTCAGTAAAATCCTCCATGTTTTCAAATCTGGTCAGATGGAGGGCTCTGTTCTTTGCTGCAGCAGGCTCATAGATAAATATGTAACGTGCATTACACATCATATCAAGTCAATAAGTGTAACAGGACTGACAGAAGACAATAATTTCCTTTTTATGTCCAAGTATATTCTTTTGGAAAGTAACTTGTAATAACATTCCTTGTCTTTGACCTCAAAATCTAAATTGAGTTTCTAACTTTTCTTTTTCAATGTCAGTAATTATTTGAAGAATACATTTCATTCAGACAGTTCTATAAGAGACTGAAGTCTCTGAATTATTTCAGTGTTGGGAGAAGAGCAGTATATCAACCAATCCACAGCAGAAAAAGTTATGCGTATGTGTCACAGTGGAGCCTAGCATCCAATTGTCATGGAGAGCCTTTTCCATTGGACAAAGGCACTGCTCTTTGCTGAGAATGACATAGACAAGGAAGGAAGAGAGAAAGCAAACTTCATTGGAATGATACTCCCGACAAAATGTCCAGGACGTGACCTTGTCAGCGCCGACATCTGTTCTACCAGAGAGGCAAGCAGAAGACCTCGTAACAGAAAAAGCCCAATACAGGCATTTGCTCAACTATGTCATCATTCAAGCAAGAGACTGCAGAGTTGTTCACATCACCTATACCATGATTGGTACTGATCACCACCTTATCCAATCTATCATCTCCATCTACCTTGCTCCCAAATAATGAAGACGCAGAAACAATGCTGCAAGAAAGTGAAAAATGAAGACCTCAAAGATACCACCAAGGGAATCTTTCTCAATCAGCACCTCACTAATAACATCTTATCCTCCAGCCACCAAAAGCTATAGTGTTCCCATAAATGTCTGATCAACCTGGAAGTACATTATAACAAGCACCTAAAGGTGGTTCTTGGTCTATGGGGAAACATCATGATAAGCAAGAGACACAGGCCTGGTTGAACATAATGGCAAGGCTTTCATTGACTAGACAATACCACAGCAGCAGCACAGCAGAGTATAAAACCTGCCATGAAGAAGACATGGTGGGTAGAAAAACCATAGAAGATCCAACAACATACATGGTTTCATCAGTGCTGTCTAGATGATCTACAGCCCATACATTCAAGGACCCATCCCAATGAGAGCCAAGGTGGACAGGAGTTCATCAGAGACAGGGAGATAATCAGCACTCCCTAAAGACAGCATTTTGAAGAACTCAAGCACATCTCTGTCCTTGACTTGAACATCCTCAACTCTGTTCTTCAAAATTCTGTCTAGTTCAGTTTCAGCACTATTCTGTTCTGCAGTAAAATTAAAAAAAGCCTTTTGACAGCTTAAGATCAACAAAGTCTTTGGAGCAGATGGAAACTCAGATAAAAGTTCTAAAACACACAGAGATACACTCCTGGCATGGTTACAAAACTTCATGTTCCCATTTTGAAAGCATAGCACATGCCAGAGTATCTCAGGGATACTGTGATTGTGACGATATTTAAAAGAAGTGGCAAAGATTTGATTGCGCTAATTACAGAGAAATCTCCTACATCCAGTCACATGGAAGATCACTGCAAAGATTCACCATAACTGCCTCTTCACCTTGGCCAGGGAATTTTTCCTTAAGTCTCCATGCAGTTCTCTCATTGAGAAGAATCAGAAACATGATCTTTGCTATGTGGCAAATTCAAGTATGAACAGCACCAACTATCCTTTTTAACTTCACAAAAGCCTTTAAGTCTACCAACTATGAAGGATTATTGGATATCCCCTCAAATTCGCCTTTTCTCAGAAATTTGTCATGATCCTTTGTTGACTCCACAATGAGATGCAAACTCTGAACATAGAACATAGAACAGTACTGCGCAGTACAGGCCCTTCAGCCCACGATGTTGTACTGACCTATTATCCTACTAAAATCAATCTACCCTGCATACCCTACATTTGACTATCCTCCATGTGCCTATCCAAGAGTCGCTTAAAAGCCTCAAAAGTATCTGACTCCACTACCACTGCCGGCAGTGCATTCCACATGCCCACCACTCTCTGCGTGAAGAACCTACCTCTGACATCTCCGCTATGCCTTCCTCCAATCACCTTAAAATTATGCCCCCTCGTAATAATCATTTCCAACCTGGGAAAAAGTCTCTGAGTATCCATTCTATCTATGCGTCTCATCATCTTGCTCCTTCCTAAAGCAACCTCACAAGCCATACCACAGTTAGGTCAAACGTGGCTACAGCATTGCATCAACTTAATTGTCCATCTTCCTCACTGCAATAATGCATCTTACCTCCTGCAAATTGCCATAGATGTGGGGACAAATCTATGGAACAAACAAACCATTCAATCTGTGCAACCTTAAATCCTAAACTAAAGCCATTCCAACCATAGGCATGGAGTTGAGTATGCAGATGATGCTTATGTGCAGTCACTCAGAAACTGAGCTTTAGACCATTGTTAAAGCATTCTTAAAAGCATACTAAACTTCATTAAACACCTGGAAAACTTAAGATTCTTTTCTAGCCAGTTCTCATCGCAAAACTAAACTACTCATTAATTAAGGTCAACAGTGTGATTCTGGAAAATGTGGACCATTTCTTTATCTTTGCAGCCTTCTCTTGACAAAGACAGAAACAGATGGTTAAATTCGTCAACACTTCCAGCTCAACCTTCGGTCAACTAAGGAAAACAGAATTTGAGTTCCAAAAACTCAAACCCTAGACAGCTGTGATCCCACTCACGTAAATGCATTGAAATCTTCAGCAACGCACAACAGTCACCTCAAAGAAATACCAGCAGTATGCGTTCAGTCGGCATGGATGAGTTGGACCAATAGGTCTGTTCCCAACCTGTACAGCTCTATGACTCTAAAGTGCAAATTAAAGCATATAGATCTATCAAGAGAACTGTGGTGAAATGTTTGGGGATCGAACATGGTCTATTAAAAAAAAAGCTGAAAATACTTTAATAAGACCTCATTGATCTCACAAAGTGAATTTTCCATTCCCCATCAGCAGAACTGGGATTAGAGAAAACAAAAAGGGGAGATTTGAAAACAGTAAGATAAAAGAAACATAATGGCATCCTTTAGTCCAAGAACATGGGTACAGAGAATATTTTCAGTAAAATGAAAGGACAAATTCAATAAACATTATCAATATAATAGTTATAATAGTTTATAATAGTTTACAATATAATAGTGAATTGTCAATATAATAGTTGTTTCATAGGTTCTGTATGTGCTGGCTGCCAGGTTTCTCGTGTGACTTGAGCTAATGCACTTTGGCTGTGCTTGTGCCTGTAAGTAATTGCCCCCCCAGCTGTGAGAGAAACACTGCTTGATGACTGCCAGTAAACTAGCCAACTCCATGGAATAAACCAGGTTTAATCTGAATCTGTATTTGTATCTGTAACTGTGATTAACCACAATGAGCCCCTATTGGTACTAATGTCTCAATTTCTGCCATCTGCATAAGCTTCTTTGCTTTCAATGCTAGTGTCTACAGCAATTTGAGAAAGAATACTACATGGCTGAGAGCCATCACTGACATAAGCATAGAACAGTATGTCCTATCTTCTTAGTAACGTCTCTGACTTAAAAAGAGAAATACGTTATAATATGTTAAGTATTTCAAAATATTATGGGTAATGCTGAAATCTCAATTCTGAGAAGGTCACACTAATGGAACATAAAGTCAGGTTAACTTGCAGAGTGATTCCTTATTTTAGTAAGGCTTGAACATCCTCCCCTCCAGCACGAAATGGCTGATGCCTAACTCCAGAGCTTTCCTCACCTCTTCAATGTCCATTGGCTCTTGATAGCTCATTATTTCCGGGATAAATTCCACAGGCAACAGTTTCACCCATGTGTGGTCCATACTGGATCTTTGTCCAAACCCATGGACCAAAACAGGCCCACAGTGGTGTCTTCCATTTTTGGAACTATCCTCCTCAGAACCACCATAGCTTCACTTTACTTTACAGCCTTTATCAGCTGCTATCAATTATAATGTACCAATTAATGTCATGTTCAATTGAGGTTGCTTAGCAGCCCATTGTTTGCCTGTCTAGGTGATGTGGCAAAATTGCAATGAATGGACTGATTAGCAGTTCAGGAGGTCATAGGCAGCTACCTTGAAATGTTTCCCTTTTTGTTGCTCCTTTACCCTGAATTCTGCTACAGTATTTAAAATTGACTGTCATGCAAGTGAGAGATATGTCTTGCATACTTTTAGTTGAACTGGGTAATACAGTATATCAGTAAGATAGGCTTTTCTTTCTCTTAATTTTGGAAGTGAAAGATGAGAACTAATATATGCTGCACTGGACATTGAATACATTATTTTCTTAAAGTACTCCTTACTAGGAATAAAACTATAGGCTTACTTTGCCAAGTAAATCTTTATAAGGGCTTAAATTATATGAGATTTACTGTCTGCTTATTAGATAAGAAATATGATCTTTTTTTCCAGTTGCCTTCTCCCTTTAGAATTATGTTGTTGATAGAAGTGGTATCCAATATAGTCGCATTACTTTTGTCTTTAGATACATTCTCTCTTTGGTGGAAATGGAGAATAACCGCTTCTAGGACTCTACACTCGCACTGTCTCATTTGTATTGAGAGTAGGCATGAGAATTATCTGTAGAGCTTAGTATCAGTTATTAATACTCTCGGTAGTTCAGAATATGTGGACATGACTACTCAGAGTCCATCCAATAAAATGAAAATATTTGGACTGAATGAAGCAATAATCCTCACCACAGTCTAAGTACAGGTGCTAAACTAATTTAAATGACCTGCAAGATGTTATTTATAGTACTATATTATAGTTTATAGTCATTAGGTACATATTCTAAGCTAATTACATCTGCCACATTTACACTCCAACCAGCAACTCTACAAATGCTGATATAAGTCCAGGCTGACGAAGAAACATTCTTACTAAATCTGAGCACTTTTACTTTCAGAGAACTGTAAACTTCGGATTGTTTTTCAATCATTTCATGAATACAGCCAGAGGACAGGTCTGATGAATGATTGACTCAGAATGTTAACATTGTTTCTCTGTTTTTAAAATTGCAAGAATAATCGGCAAAGAACCCTTTTGTAAGGCATTTTATCTCCCTTTAATCGCTCGGGAATTTCATGTTCGCCTCTTAATTGTACTTCGGTTCTGAGGAAGGGTCACTGGACCTGAAACGTTAACTCTGATTTTTCTTCTGTTTTTGTTTCAGATTTCTTTGGTTTCAACTCAAATCCTACTATTCTCACTTTTTCTGTTGCTTTGGTTTCCTCTGGATAAAAATATGCAGGTGAGATACTAAAAATTCTTTAAGGAATTCTTGACAAACCATTTTTCTGCATGTTTAAATTTAATATATATGGTACTATTTATTTAGCCAAGAATCTGAAATTTAAAATCAACAAAAAGGCAATCTTGAAGTAATTCTGAATTTTAAAGTATTGGAGTTAGCTAGCTTCCTACTCCCAAGACTGACCATCTTTGCAACAGCAATCTTTTTTTTAAATTCAATTCTCATTTGTATGATTTGTCATCTATTGGAACTAATCATTGTCCTTTATTTTTTCAAAGGGCAAAATTCCTACAAATATGACATCCCCGTTTCCTGAATGACATAGTTAGAAAATCATTGGAGATATTTCCTGCACATTCCTGGCAAGTCCAACGGAAAATTAAGAGTGATAAACAAGGTCAAACAGGATGCATGGAGCTTTCAATGACTGTCATAACGATGTAAAAAGTTCTGCTTCACATCTGTCACGCACATGGTAGAGATGTCAATCTCATTCCTGATTCAACACAAAGCCTGGAACTACATTTAGCAACAACAAAGCGATGTTATTAACAACTATATGCCAAAATAAATATGATCCAGGGACATAAGAAGTACGCTGCCTGAAAAGATGCAGATGCAATTGTAATTTAAAAGGGGAATTGGACAGTACCTGAAGAGAAAGAATGCAGACTGTGTGGATCTTTCGAAAGAGCGAGAGTCTGACAAATTGAGGCTCTTTCGAACAGTTGGCACAGCCAACGATGCTTTTATCATTCCCTCAGTCCTTACCCATTCAAGAAAATCAGGAACTGAAGGCTAAACCCATTTTGTGCTATCCACCTGCTGTATTGCAAGTAACAAAAGTCCAATGTCTAGACTGAATCTCTCAACAAGTGATTATTTCACACAATAAGGTTAACGCTCCAAAACATTACTAAATTGAACGTTGATTTATTTTACAGAATTAAATAATAGTTGCTCAAAGTTCGTCAACTGGGCATCTGTTTTGTTGAGGAGCTCTTTATTGCTTTGGAGATGGTTAACCTATGGAATCTTTCCTCTGTGTGAAATTAACCATCCGTAACGTACTTTCTCCTTTTTAGACTTACTGTACGTGTCAATCTGACCAAGCCTCCGATTGTTTAGTAAGATTGAATCAACGCGTTGATTTAAAACGCTTGCACACCCTGTGTGCTGGTGTAGGGACAGAAAGCAGTCCTTCACCCCCACCCTGACCTGACTCAGAGCCTTTGTTACGCACTGGCTGCCTTCACACGTCCCGGAGACGCTTGGTCACGGCTAGTTCTATCACCTACAGACAGTGACTCCTTTCTCCTTCTCCACTCACGTTCAGACAATAGCCCTAAAACACAAGGGGACAGATGGAAGATTCTATTAATGAATATTTCGATCAATATTACCACTAGTTTGCTCAAACTGTTCTGTGATTCTCGGGCCTTTGTTATTTGCATCATCCAACTTCAGCTCCCGTGGGATTGGAAGGGTCGACTGTTAAATCGCTTTATGGTGGATTACCTCAACTACTCCAAGGTTTTCTCGCTTGCTGTCTTATCTGAATTGTTCAGATTATAACTCAATGCTTTCACTTCAGTGCCCTATTTGGGATTTATTTAAAAGGAGAGTGTAAATTTAGTAAAACCTTATTGACTGTATACTGATGATCGTACAGTGTACCGCAGGTAAACCCTTGCCCAGTCCAGCCACTGTTCTAATCCAGGGCCTTCTGTTCAGTGCTGCAGACTGGAGGTGATAACTTTGATATCTTGATTTGTTTGCCCTCCACCTGACTAGGTTTCAAGTTACTGCTTTCTGATGGAGGAAAGGGTAGGGGGAGAATCAAACCCTAATTAATCATCCAACCTGAACCCTTGAGCAAACTCACCTTGTAGGAACATACAAAATAGGAGAAAAAGAGCTTTTGGCCCCTCAAGCAATAAGATCATGGCTCATCTCTTTCTGTTTCAAATTCCACATACCGATCTATTCTCAATAACCATTGATTCCATCTCAATAAGAATCTGTACACTTCTGTCTTTAAAAAAGATGACCCACAGGAAGAAACATCTTTTCCACATCTTCCTTGTCAAGATAATTCAAGAGTTTATGCACCTCAATCAAATAACCTCTTAATTTCCTAAACTCCAGTGGAAACAAGTCTAGCTTGTCCAAACTATCCTCAAAACTCATTCATTCCAGATAATCTAGAAAACTACTCTTGAAATGTCTCCATTGCATTTCCATCATTCCCTAAATAGGAGATAAAAACTTCACAAGTTGTGGAACAGCAAAGTACAAATGTTTGAAATGACTTCCTTTTGAGTGATTATTGTTTGCTGTATGTTTCTTGTGATACCATGTCATTGCTCACCTATCATGGTCTAAAGACTGGAGAAGCTACTATTTCAGAGGTTTGACAACATGGAAAAGAAAATAAGTGTTTCAGGTTGATGAACTTTGCTGAAATTTCATCTGGGCCCTCAGCCTTCGCAGCATCCAGTGTCTTCAGCTTCTTTCTTGATAATTGTGCATCATGAATCAAATTGGTTTCAGACTGACTGGCAACTTTGCTGCTGGGGATCTCAGCATGATCATCGTTCTAGCTGATGATGGCTGCAAATACTTCAGCCTTGGCTTTACTCTGATGTAAAGGGCTCCCCCATCATTGACGATGGAGATATTTATGGAACTTCTACCTTCTACTAGTTGTTTCATTGTCCATCGCCATTTGTGACTGAATTTGGCAGGACTGCAGAGCTTAAATATGATCCATTGATTGTGGGATCCACTTAACTCTACCTATTGCATGCTACTTACATTGTTTAGAATGCAAGTAGCCATGTGTTGTAGCTTTATCAGGTTTACAGCTCATATGCCTATTGCTCCTCCTGACATACCCTCCTGCACACTTCATTGAACCAGGTTTGATCTCATGCCTTATGGTAATGGTCGAGTGGCTGATGTGCTGGGCCATGAGGTTATTACCAACTGACCCACTGACCAACCACAAATCCCCTACCTGCATCCACCTATCTCCAACCCACCTACCCTACCCCCAGCTCCACCCCTCATCATTTATTTCTGGGCTTCCCTCCTCTTCCCCAGTCCTGACGAAGGGTTTTGGCCTGAAAAGTTGACTTCCCTGCTACTCAGATGCTGTCTGACCTGCTGTGCTTTTCCAGCTTCACATCTGTTGACTCTGGCTTCCAGCATCTCCAGTCCTTACTGTCTCCACGTTACAGATAGTGGTTGAATACAATTATTCTGCTGCTCATGAAGAACAGTGCCTCGTGAATAGTCAGTCTTAAATTGCTAGGTCTGTTCTAAATTTGAACCATTTAGGGTACCATTTACGGTGGTAGTGTCACACAACACATTCGGGGGTATCCTCAATATGATGATAAGAATTTATCTCCACAAGGGCTGCACAGTGATCTCTTCTACTACTGTCATGGACAAATGCATCTGCAACAAGCAGATTGGTAAAGACAAAGTTGTGTAGATTTTCCCTTTTGTTGGTTGCCTCATCACCTGAGACCCAGTTTAACAACTGTGTCCTCTACAATTAGGCCAGCTTAGTCAATAATGGGTGCTACAGAACTACTGTTGCTGAGGGACATTGAAGTCCCCAGCCCAGAGTACATTCTGTAACCTTGACATGTTCAGTTTCTCCCAGCTGCTGTTTGAAATGAAGCAACATGGAATCATCAGCCAAGGGAGGCATAAGAAGGGATGGAAGGCAGGAGTGGTGATCAGTAGGATGTTTCCTTACCTGTATTTGGCCATGAGGACCACAGTCAATGTTAAGGACTTCCAAGGCAATTATATACCAATTATATACCACAGTGCTGTCATTTCTGATGGGTCTGTCTTGCTGGTGACCTACCTCTGAGAACTAAAACCAAAACACCCAGAGAGGAGTGTCTCGCCCTATAATCTGTTAAAAGGTGTGTGAAAAGTGGTGTAACCTGCTCTTCCACAACTTCTAGTGGTTAAATAAAATAAATCTTTGACATTCACTTTATGTTCAACAAGTAACAATTTATTCATCTAACTCTAACATAGAAAAAACTAACTAAATTATTAACAAACTGAATAAGCCCCTTCTAACCATTAACTATTCCTGAATAAAACAAGATTCTAATGTTATGCTGTTCCAATAAATAAAGTCCCTCTTATATAAGATAAAATTTTTTTAAAACCATTGAATTTAGTCTCTCAAAATTACAGCCAGGTTACGGCTTCTAAAATGTTCTGTGCCTTCTCTGTCGAATTCTTCTGTCAGGAATATTAACTAGTTGTGCTGTCGGTAGATTTAGATGGTGCTTTCTCTAAAACTTACAGAAGACTGAGAGAGCTAGTGATTCACTCTTGAGAGCTGAGAGCTGTTAACTCTTACAAATGGCAGTAAATTCTCTTAATTTTTCCAACTGCCCTCTCCTTTTATACCCTTGATGACATATCAATTTCTTACAATAGGATTGGTCCTTTATTGCCAAAACTATCAGATTTAAATTTAATTGGTTAAATTCAGAACATGTTGTCTTGATAACAAAACAAAACTGCTGCTTCGCTTGCTAACTGTATGGCTGTTTGATATAAAATGTTTCAATTTGAGGACTCTCTGTGCACCTATAAACCCACACACTGATGCCTCCAGACATCCTTTTTGAATCTCTAAACATAGAAAAAGCACAACATCTTTTAAAGGGACCATGCACTGCTCCCCCCCACTCCCCAAACCCCCTAGAATTTTACAAACAACAAATTGTAACTTCCTGCCTTCTAATCCACAAGTACTCTACCCAACATTGCAAAGTAGTATCTGGAACATTGTGAGATATAACTCAGTGAACATGACATGTGTCAGGCTGTTGTTTGACGAGTTTGAGGAACAGATTTCTCAGTTTTGGCACAAACTCCCAGTGGTTGGTAAGGGGGACTTTGCAGGGTTGACAGGGCCATATTTGCTGTAGCCATAACTAGTGTCTAAGTCATTGCCAGGTGGGCTATCTGGATTGATTTCCCTTCTTTAGTCTTCATAGGAGTTTAATACAACTGAGTGGTTTGCTAGGCCATTTCAGAGGGCAGTTCAAATTTAATATATTGCCGTGACTTGTGTCATCTATAGGGCAACCCAGGTAAGGATGGCAGATTGCCTTCCCTCAGGACATTAGTGAACCAGATAGATTTTTACACCAATCGACAGTGGTAACATGGTTACCATTAGGATAGTTTTTAATTCCAGACATTTTTTATATTTAATTGAAATTTCACTATTTGTTATGATGGAATTCAAACATATGACCCCGGAACATAAGCCCAGGGTTCTGGGTTATTCTGCAGTGACATTACCACTGCACACCACCTCTCAAAATGTCCTAAATGGGCCGGCATTAATGACTTCTTTAACTAAGTCCCCAATGCAACAGCAAGCATCATATAATGAATCTGAAGCAAAAGCGAAACAATATTATTTTCAAGTTAACAACAGAACTTATCAATCATCTGTTACAAAGTGCAGCTGTGCTAAAAATGGAGTATCTGCACAGTTTGTAACATAATATGTAGAGCTCACATATTTGGAATCTCTCACCACTATTTCAGGCTGTCACCTGATAATGTTGACTAGTTAAATAATACTGCCGAAATCACCTTTTTATTTCACAGGATGTGGGCATCGCTGGCAAGGCAAGCATTGATTGTTTATTCCAAACTACCCTTGAGAAATTGATGGTGAACCATTGCAGCCCCTGTGCGCAGTCACACCCACAGAGCTCAGTGGAAGTGATTTCCAGGATTTTGACCTAGAGAAACAGCTCAGAACTGCAACACCTGTTGAAATTTAAATACGCATCCTCACTGCCCTGTAAAATATAAGGATGCAGCAAAACGCCTAAATGCCATTCAGAACTTTTACTTTTTTGCTGTTTTTCAATTTCTTTTGTAGCCCTGGTGCACATACGGAAGGGTATGTGGCTGTTTTATGTGGTGTCAATGCATAGTAAGCTGGTCGAGTAAGTCTTTAATTACAAAGCAGCCTTGTCAGCATAGGGCAATCTAAGGATATTTGTAACAAACACGGAGAAAGCTGGGAAAAGTCAGCAGGTCTGGCAGCATCCGTGGACTACGAAACAGAGCTAATGGTATGACTCTTCTCCAGAACATCTTTCACAGATGCTGCCAGCCCTCCTGAGTTTCTCCAGCTTTCTCAATGTTCATTTCAGAGTTCCAACATTTGCCGTATTTTGCTTTTATACGAATATTTGTTGTTTAATAATTTACATGTCAAATGAAAACCTTTCAATTTAGTCATGTGACCTTGCACAGTGACTCATCAGCAGTTGCACTATTTAGAAGACAGTGATATCAGAACGGATATCAGAAAAATGTACAACCAAAAAAACCCTGTCATTTCTAAATTCATTTCTTACAATATATTGAGGGAAGGACCAGAGTAGAATTCTTATATTTGAAGATAATGTCAATAGAATTGCAATATTGCAATATTGAATGGGACACTTTAGAGATTTTAATCGCTTAAACTGTACATATTCCAATGGGTACTCAAATCTGTAGCCTGTTCAACATGTATTTAACAGAAGTGCTTGTTTGTGATAGCTTCTTATTTTATAAATTATACAAAATCAGATACTTGGCCAGATAATGCTTTATTTGGTGCTGTTGGTTGAGGGGAAAGTAATAGTCAAGACAGGAAAATTTTAATGTCCTTATTCAAATAGGATTTTCTGCAAACCCTGAAGGGACAGGCAGGATCTTAATTTAACATTTCATCCCAATCATTCCACTGTACTATTCTGACATTTTCGCCTGAATGTTGTTCTCAAGTCTTTGTATTAGAGTTTGAACGCACAAATATCTAACTCTAAAGTAAATGTGTCATCAATAGGCTAAAGCTGCCAAGGTGTAAACAGATAAGGATCAAACATTCAAGCTTCCATTGATCTGTGGGAAATATTGAACCCGTCTCGAAGAGTAGAAAAAGTAACAAATACCTTTGTCATGCAGCAATGCAGAAATCTAATCTCATATTTCAGGTAACCATTATTGACCTACTATAAATCTCACTGCTTCTATGATGTTTGAAAGTTCTGGTTAGGTTATGCCAATTAGTCCCACATATTCAATATGGTTTATTTATTCTGTGGAGGAATGATCATTCCAACAGCCATATATAAGAAAAATGTGTTGAATAATCACCTTTGAGCCCACAGCTGCTACAATATTCTAAAATTATCTGAGAGCTTGGGAATGGTTCTGTTCCATTTAAATAAACCTCCCTGAGAACAAAGAGTTTTAGGAGCACATGATCATAGCTCATCTACAAACATGATGCTCTTCAATTATGAGTCATTCATATTTTGTGTATCCTTCATTAATTAAAATCACATAGCAGGAGACAGCAGGTGCAGTGGAAAGTAATAGTTCACCTGTTATTTATATTTGTTCGAAAAGGAATAAAATAATTACCTTGAACTATCTTAATAATCTTCATAGTTTGTTTTTAATTGTTTCAAAATTATGCCTGATATCAAATAAAACTATTTATTAGGGATGAAACATTATGATACATAAATCCATTCTAGTACAATACCTGTAGTGAAGGAGTGACTCAACTAATTAAAATATTTTTCATTCTTAATTTGTGAACTGCATGCACTCAGCAACATAAAGAATCTCTAACCAATCAACTCATCCCAGTTGAATCATTCTTGCAGTCGGAAAACCCCAATGAGCCACTATCATCTGCTGCTGCTCTTTGTGGTTACTCCTCCCAAGAAATCTACTGTTACGGTATATCACACTCGTCCACCTTGCACCATCCTCACTTGTTTTTCTGCAAATGCTTTGTGGTCTCTGTCATCCAACTTTACCTAGGTTGACCCCTCTTTCTGCTGTCGCTATTATAAGCTATTGACAAATTCATAGCCTAGACCATCCATCCTCTGGAAAGGAGAGCCGATGGCCTAGTGGTATTAATACTAATACACAGTGGTATTATTACTTTGTGGAAATTTCAGGTTGCTTGATTGCTCACTTTTAGACAAGTACAAAGGAACATGACTAAAACCTAACTTTAAGAGAACTACGCAGCTAGATCCAATTCATAATGGCCTGGCATGGAGGTCTGCCGGCCCAGCGCAGCAGTCTCTCGGCCTAGCACAGTGATCTCCCAGCGGCCTATTATCGCGGTCTGTCAGCCCAGCGTGGCCTTAGTGTGGACTTCGGTCTCAAGGTGATTCCAGAGCGATCTCTCAGCCTCATGAACCCTGAGGTGAAGCCCAGTGCAATCTGGAGTCTAGGCCTGGTGCAGACGGGAGGGCTAGGTGCTCTCTTCATTTTGTAATTTATTCCTAAAATCTGCAATGTTGGACTTTTTGCTTCTCTATTTTTCTAAGAACTGTAACTGAAGCTGAAGAAGACCTTGTACCTAAGATGGCATTATAAGCAGTAACTTATACACTTTTCACTGTATTCATTCGAGTACATGTGACAATAAAGCTAATTCTAATTCAATTCAAGTCAAGAAAACTAAACTGCTGAGTCCAACAAACTGTTTACACTTGAAAAGTTAACCTTTTTGTGGATCCTAAAGAATTAAATTTTTCCAGCATTTCATAGATAAAACTTTGGCGTGTATTTTCAATCTAATTCTGCTGCCCTAGTCAACTTGCCCTGCCACAGAGAAATATTGCAATTTGTGTGGCACACTTTTTCTCATGAAATCCCAGGGGAACTGCTATGAGGAGCCAAGGACTTCAATCAGAAGGGAAGTCACTCTACAATGTGATCACATTTCTCAATAATGTGTTCATCTGGTATCAATGCAAGTACCAATGAATGTGTAACATTCACCTCTATAAACTATGTGCTATGGGGTCACTTATAAAGGAAATGGATTTATACGAAACAATTAAGTGAAATTCAAATTATTCTATTAATTCACTCCATATAAGTAGTCAATGTTTAAAATCCAGACATGTTAAGGTCTGAATATAAGCCATTGGTGAATTATCTCAGCTTATTTGCTATTCAAGCCCACTCTCATGTTTTCATTGCCCCTAGATTTGACCATTCCAATGGGCTCTTGGCTGGTTTCCCACATTCTATCCTCAATAAACCTGTGGTCATCCAAATCTCTGCTTCCGGCATGTTAACTTGCTCCAAGTCACAATCTTCACAAGTGCTGTGCTTACTCACCTACATTGGATTCTGGTCAAGCAATATCTTAATTTTAAAATTCTCATGTTTAGTTTTGAATCCCCCCAGCTCCACAACTTTGAGATAACACCTCTCCTCTAATTCTGGCCTCTTGAGCATCCATGATTCTAATTGCTTTGCTATTAGTAGCTGTGCCTTCAGTTGCCTAGGCCCCAGCTCTGGAATATCCTCCTGGCACTTCTGTTTACTTAGTTTTTACAGTTTAAGACAATCCTTCAAACCTATCATTTTGCTGTGTTTCTCATTATTTGACTGAATATCTCCTTACATGGCTTGGTGACATTTTTTATAACGTTCCTATGAAATGTCTTGGGACATTTTATTATGTTAAAGGTGCTAAATTAAATATACTTGTCACCAGATTAAGTTACTCATCTGTTGACTTTTGTTTAAAATTTTCACACAAGATTAGTTTGAGGCTGTCCAAACTTATTTGGAGTCAGCAGACAAAGGAGTTTTCATCCTATACGATGGTGTTAGTGTTTTTGAATGCATACCATAAAGGGAAAAATCTGAATCCAATGCATCATTAGGTTCTGCAAGGCTTGTAAGGGGAATGATTCTTTGTATCCCCATTCAGTCTTCAACATCTGATCCAAATAGGTATATTTTGAAAGCTGTGAAATGAGTTCTGTAACAGCTTATTCTCCTCCAATGCTCCAATTGTTGTCATTGACAGTTTTCACAAGCACTCTGTTTATTACTTTCATTTGCTATCCACAGAAAGAAGAATCTGCAGTGATTACTTGTTCCAGAAGACAGTTTGCTGCATAAATTACACCGCTGTAGTTCATCTCCAACAGCTGCTCTGTGTGAAAAATAAAACTGGTAAAGCTGATGACCTGTCTTCCTGCTCATGTGCCAGCCCCAGCTAAATAAAGACATTCCAAGCAGAGACACAAAAGCCAAATGCATTAAATGTAATCAGGATCATGGCAGCCTTAAAGTAAATATCATGTTGGTTACGGTTTCAGTTATTAGCACTAAATGTTGTTCTGTGTTTGATTCTTTGCATAGCTAATGATAAAAACCTTGCCAAACACTAATGTTCCACTTGTAAATTATATATATTTTCATTCGGAGGCAGACATACTTAAAGTAGTTAAAGTCTGATTTAAAGCATCTATTTAATCAGCAGCTCGTGTGGTAGAAATTGTGCAGATTGTTAAATTGCCACAATGAACTATATTCACCATTCCAAAAGCACATTGTAAATTAACTTCTACTATTGTGGAAGTTCTTCACATCTTCAAAATTGCCAGAACTCTCTTCAGGTTCCATATTGAGTAGGGATGGCAGAAGTGAGATAGACTTGCATGTCTAGCAGTCACTTAGGAAGCTCTTAATTAATTGTTCACTACAATTTAGAATGAGAAATCACTGGTACTTCTTTTTCAAAAAGAAAGAGCTTAAAGATCAAATCTAATGCTGCTGTAAGAAAAGTGCACAATTTAAAAGAAAGGTTACTGGACCCAAAATGTTAACTCTGCTTTCTCTCCACAAAGGCTGCCAGACCTGCTGCATGCTTTCTAACAATTTCTACTTTTGTGTGCACATTTTAAAAAGTCTGTTAACTGGCAAGCCAAATTACTAGACTCCAAGATTGACTTAACATTGCCTAACATCATTTCCAGAAGAGTTATTCTTCCCACTGAAATGAGCCTTTAGTTTTGGGTTCCTCATTTGAGTATTTAACCTAAGCTGGCAGTTCAGCAACTTGTTTCAGAC